GGTAGTTGCCCTTCTCGAACATGTCCTCGCAGGCCGGGTCCAGCGTCCAGTAGTTGCCCTTGCGCTCGCCGCCGCCCTCGCGCGGCACCTTGATGAAGCACTCGTTGAGGCTGAGGTTGTGGCGGATGCTGTTCTGCCAGCCCTTCTTGTTCTTCTCATAGAACGGGAACTTGGCGATGATGTACTGGTAGATGCCCGACAGCGTGAGCCGCTTCTCGGCGCTCTCGCGGATCGCCATGGCGATGAGCGCCACGTACGAGTACGGGGGCTTCTGCGCCGGGTCGGCCTTCTCGGGCGCAGTCCCGCCGCCGCCGCCCTTGCCGGGACTCGGCGGCAGCGCCTCGGGCTCCTTGGCTGCGCGGCCGGCCTCCGGGGACAGGAGGGTCCCCGCAGTGTCCTCGTGCTCGGGGTAGCTGGCCATCATGACAAAGCCGGGCGCAGCGGCCCGGCCGCCCCCCGCTCTCCCCTCTGGCGGATGGCACGGCGATGTGCCCCAGCGCTCGCCTCCCCAACTTCAGGAGGCTGCGATGCTGCCCGCGCGCTCACGGCCCGGACTCTTCTTGTCTCTTCCTTCTCTTCCCCCAGGGAGCGGCCGGCGGGAGTGGAGCTCAGCCGCTGGCCATGGGGAGGGGAGTTCGCCCAACAGAGGGGCTCTGGTCTCGCTGCCCCTCCCCGCCAGGCCAGTCCCCGCCTCGGTGGGGTTTCTTTCCTGCGCTCTCCCCTCCCCCGCAGCCGCCCCCCACCCCCCCACCCCTGGTTTCCAGAGGCACGACCCGCGTCTCCGGCGGAGCAGCCTCCTGGAGTCCCCAATGCGCCAGGAACCTCTCTCCGCTCTGATTCGTATGGGCTCGGCTGAGTTCCGCTTGCGTCAGGCGTCTTCGCCCCTATAGCGGGGCGGCCAGCGGCGCACGGGCGCGTTCATCTCCAAGTCACTTTTTGGTAAACGCCCCGCAATAGCCAGAACCGGCCTGCCTCCGCCCGGCGAGCCTCGGCCGCCCGGCGGACGGTGAGGCTCCCGTTCTGGCGAGCCTCTGAAATCCACCGGTGTCGCTCTCGAGGGAACAGAGCCGGCGAGAGGCCTCGGGCCTCGGCGGTGTCCGCCCGCTCTCCGTCCGGTCCGGGCCCGGGGAGCTCCGGCTGCAGCGAGGAGCGGCGCTCCAGGCCTCCTCGCCGCTTTCAGGTGATGAAAGAGAAAGGCTGGCGCTCTCTCGGAGTTGTCTTGAGGCTAAACTTGTAGCTCACATTTGAGAGGGGCGGGACGTTGAGGGGGCCGGACGCAGGGAAGTGCAGCTTGGTGGCTTTGGGTAAACCAGCACAGAAGTAGCTTGTCGCGGAATGAAGAAACCTAGCAGGTCGTGTCCCGCGCGCTCTCCCTGCGCCTGGGCTGAGATGGGGGTCGGCGAGAGATCCTGGCGGGGAGGCGCCCCGGAGCGCTGTCAAAGGCGTTTTCGTCCTTCCTGGGGCTGCCCTAGGTACTAGGGAGCAGGCCGCTCTGCACTGGGATCTGATGGGTCGGCGTGAGGTTCGGGTGCGTAGTACTATAACACACGGTAGATGCCCTCCTCCGCCCTGCGGGCACACAAACGCCCATGTTTCCATGGGGTTTGGGGCGGTGGGGGTGGGGGGGCCTGCATGTAAGTGCACAGGTAATACAGATGGAACTAATAGAAGCCTCTGTCCCCGAGTCCAGTCCCAGCTGTTTAGGTGCGTTTGCGCTGGTGCAAAAACACAGCTATGCACTTGTACATGTAAGTCCCGGCGTGTCAGAGGAGATGTGAATCAGATCATCATTCCTTTTCCTCCTTCTCCCCTCTCCTCTGCCATTTGTCCCTCCCCTTGCCCCCCTGCCTGGTCCCCACTATGTGGACACATAAAATATATGTGTATATACTTTATTACAGCCGGGAAGAAAATCCACAGGCTGAGAGTGGACACTTATCCAAATGTCTCTGCTGATAGGACGTTTGTGCTGCTCTTGTTTCTCCAGGGTTGCAGGTTGAGTTCATGCTTATCTTTAGCAGAAATCTTACCGGGGGCCCTGTTACATCAGTATGTACAGAGAGGATCACAAGAGAAGCCAGTGCTGGTGTGAGAAATCAGGTGTGTCCTTTTATTGATTTAAAAAAAAATTATTTTGGGGGGGGGTGCCTTTTAATGGTTAGCTTGCCATGTACCAAACTTTAGTCACAAAACGTGAAAGAGATGGTCACTGTTTTGAGTCATCCAGACTCAAACTCTGCTCTTTTGGTTTTGAAAGGGGGCGGGGTTAAGATACTTTGCCAGGAAGGCAAACTGAGCGCGTGTCTTGTAGGTGTGTTAGTGTTGGCATACCTGAGTGACAGCCGCAACCATTTTTTCCAGGCTGCCCAGTGTCGGAGAGTCCTGGGAAAGCTTGAGGAATCCACAGTGGGTGATGGCCCCAGCATCTACAGGTCACCTCTCTGTCACCCAGGCAGCACAGGACTTGGCCTTTTGAAGATGACTCAGAGAGACCAGCTAGGCAACCAGAGCTGACCTCAGCAGGTACACTTGCCCACCTCTGGGCAGACGATATCACCAAATAGTCAGAGTGCTCTCCGGGACTGTCTCCAGCTTCCACACCGAAGGGGCAGGTAGAGCTTTCCTCCGCTGCAGCGACCACCTCCTGAGCTAGCACAGGTGCTTGCTGTTATTGTTTCTCTCTCCCTCTTCGCCTGGTCCCTGCTCAGGCTGTGAGTGGGGGAACTTTGAATCAGTCCTGAGGCTGCTACAGAGTGACCCCAGAGGCCATGCTCTCCCAACCGGGCTAGAGAACAACAGCTGGGTGAGGCCTTACCCTGGTGGGGCCGCTGAGCTTCTCCTCAGGGTTTTTTTTTTGCTGACCACCCAGGCTGGCTCTAGGTCTCTTCCCCGCCCACCCCCCACCCCACCAAAGGCATTTCCGCTGCTCAGCGCTGACAGCAGCCAGGTGTAACAGCATTGTTGTGTGTGTCATCACTTCCCTGAATTCCACACTCAGAGCTCCCTT